TCATAAACAGACCGTGGATCCTTATGCAAATTACCATTTTCATAAGCTGTTTCATAAGAAACATTTCTTACAGCAAAAATCGTACATGAAACTATTAATAATCAATGTTGATATTTATGTTTATGTTTTATAAATTTACACAAGCTACAAGATACACAAAGATCCACGCGTTAATAACGAATAAACAACCGCAAATATACAAACAAATATAAATGATCTAAAATTTAAAATATTCTACGAGATTGTATATTGATCACAGATCTACTGATAAAAGTGTAATCGAAATTTGCAATTGTTACCTACAAAATACGATAAAATCAATCCTACAAACGTTATCTATAATATCAAATTCTGATTAGGAACAAGTTGTCAGGAACGTCTTAATTGCAATTAGCGTTAATTCACATGAATCGTTTATCTCTATGAAGCTCTTAACGTGATAACGAAAATGTGTTACCAGATCCGAAATCAGTGTCTAAGAATCTATAAAGACACTCGACGAAAATAAAATTCAATTCGATAATTATTACGATTAGCGTGACATTTTTCTGCATCCTGTCTCGTCGAGAGCACTCGATGCCCAAGCATGCTGTCCCACTAAGAATAGCTTAGCGCATTTGCTGCTCATTCTAACACTAAATTTCGTAAAATGCAGTAAGAATAGCTACCGAGCTAGGTATCGAATCGAATCGAATCGTGAACGTGGAACTGAATTTCCCAATCGACACATTATTCATCGCGATAAAATGATTCAGCTCCGTTGAATTGTAAGTCACGGATTACGATAACGAAAAGAAGATATACAGTTTTGGTAAGACAGATTAATTTCCATTGACAACAAATATTCCACAGACAATCGCGATCGTTTTTGCAATCTGCAATCGTATCTATTGTCTTCGAGAAGTTGCGAGCCATTTCTCGATCTACTTTGTTACGTATACTTTCAGGAATTTTTCTTCGATCAACGACACAACGATCTTCGTGAAACTTCACAGATTTGCTCGCACAGATTTAAGCTGCATCAGCGAATTCTTGTACGTTGCTATCATCGAGATTCTATTAATTGTAATTACAATTATTCGCTAAGGGATCATCAAACCGGTTAAAAAGTTCTTCACAGATTATTTTCTCAAATTTCGATTCTGTATTTTCTTTCTAAATTATTACTCTAATATTTGTTTTGTATACGTCGAGCGCGCACGTGCTTAGCTTCTGAATCACAGAAAATTATTGCATTAATTAGAATTGTTAGCGTGACTCGAAGGTCGTAGTGTTAGTAACAGATCGGTACTTCTACTTCTGATGGGCGCCATGTACAGAAATCATTGTAATTAGCTTTTTTATCGTTCAACAGTCGACCGTAATCTGTTAAATAAAAATAGTTCTGAATCGTTTTAATTTCCGTTGACGTCGGTATACAATTAACTATAGTTTTCGAAGACGGTAACGCATAAAAAAAGAATCGTGTATACAATTTAAACATGTGTAAACAGATCTGACAAGCCTCGTTCGAACGTATCAAAAAAAAGAAAAATTCCCAAAAAGCGTGCCTTGAAAACAATCTAAGAAACTCAACACCCCGTACCAAATACATTTACGCTCTTTCGACTCTGCGTACACGAGTGCGAAATGCATAGTTAATGCAGCTGTTTCGCTGCGTAGTTCGACTCCCATGTCCGGTCACCCAGAGTGAAAAACAAAATTGCGTTTCTCGACTTTATTGCTGCGGAGCTCATTGCACAACAACAAAAAAAGTCACAGTGAAGCGTAGAACGTTCGACGGTTGAAAATCAAATGGAACACGGTTCAAAAATCGAAACTACAAAACAACTGTGCGAACACTAAAAAAATAAGCCGGAATATCTGCACCGTGATATGTACAATCCTGGTTCGAGCGAACCGAACGTTACTTACCGATTGTGGCACAGTTCAATTAACACGAATTAAAGTGCGATAAAAAGAAAATGTAATGATTAGTAAAATAAGCTACGCAAGCGAAATGTGACTTGAGATCGATCCTGATCGATGGGACTAGCCATGGAAAACGTTTGCAGACTCTTCTCACATTTTGATGCAGTTTCGCTGCACGCTTGAACAACAGAGCATTTCGGCTAACAATTGAATGAAATGCCGGTAGAATTGTGACTGCCGATCGTTGCAATCGATGCGAAAACTTCACGTTTGGTGCGAGATATAAGAGATATAATATATATAGAGATATAATATATAATATTTCATTGACTAAAAGCGATCTGTATTCTTGCACAGATATAATTATAATATAATCTTGTTACGTTAATAGTCGATGCAAATTTCTCAGATTTCTAAAAGGTGAAATCTTGAAAAGCTCGTTCGCTGTATCGAAAGTTCCATTGTGTTCCAAACAAGATAAAAACCTCGTCGAACTTATCGCAATTCCGAGTTTCACGATGCTATACGTTTGTCAAGTTATGTACGCAAAGAGACCACGAAGAACATTGCGTTCACTGTCTTTCGGAGTCCAAGCTAGACAATCGTTTTCCATGGTTCGCGAGGGTGCGCGTCAGGATCTCATGGGTTGCCCGCGGTGTCACAATGTCGAACGGAACTTGGTTCACTGGACACACGTGGCAATTAACACACAGATCGATAGAGCATTAATCACTGCAAAACTAAAAACTCGCTTACTAACTGAATGGTGAGGATAGTACCTTATCGTCGGCGGTAATCCAGACCATTTTGGCGGGCTGCGCAAATAAATAGGAGACAGGAATTAGTGGCAATACGGTTTCGATGGTACCGCGGCTACGTCTGGCTGCATTCGTCTGCACACCGAGTGCATACTGCTTATCGGACAAGCAACGGATGTATCGCGACGTGCGGAAGTAGAGAGGGGAATTGAAGACGTTCGATGGACGTGATACACGACGATGATGGTGATACCAATGCGTGCAGCAGGTCTGCCAAAATTTGTACGGGCACATTCTATTCCGAAGCTCTCATTAAGTACGAAAACACCGTGTCGCTAGAACGGACGTATCAGGGTCAAACATCAATCCCTACCTTCGTTCGCGTATTACTGCCCGAAATGTGTTTAACACTGCTAAAATTGTGCTGTGTTTAACACAGTTTGAATCGCGCTCGTTCTTTTAAATCCCTCTCATTGACATAGTATTCGTTCACGTATTCACCTTTTTGAACTCCAAATTATCATGTTCACATTTTTCCACTCTGGATTAATCCTTTTTTATATCAGTTTTGCAAATCGAATCAAATCTTTTGCAGATCTTATGCATTTACTTGCAAATGAAATTCGCTTCTTTGTAAATTAAATTTACTTATTTCTAGTTATTTGTTGTAAAATTCATATTAAATTGAACAAAATTGAACGACGCTTTGTGAATAATCATTAGAGAGATTAACGAAGATTAAGTATTTGCAATGGAATTTGTATTATTTTGTAGATATATAAATTCATATGTAAAACAATTTTTAAATTCGCATATTAAATTTAAAAATCAAATTAAGGTCAACCAATTTTGATTTCTGGAAAGGTGAATTTAATCTGGAAAAAATTCAATATAATTTCGGAAAAATTGAACACACAATTTGGAAAAAGGTGAATATGATTTTCGAAAGGAATGAATTTAGAGTGCAAAATCTGTATAAAATTGTATTCCAGAAGTTGCGAACATCATTTAAATATGTACATAATAAAAGATCGGGATATTATAGTCTCTCTATAGTCCTCTCTATTTCGGGTCTTCGATACATAATTTGAAAAACAGATATCCTTATAATAGTAAGAATTACTTATCACAAAGGGTTAACTTATTTATCAGTCGAAAATAATGCCTATAAGACTGAGCTTGCGAGTTTTTATTTCAGAAATTATTTGGTCTACTGTGTTGATTCTTTTCTTCTTTTGATCTGGAGAATCTGACTTATTGTAACAATTAAGTTGTGCAAATTATACACTGTTCGCATCAATTGCAAGAAACCAAATAGAAATTTATTTTTTATAAAGTTAAATTGAATCTAATACATTTGTTCTCATATTCTTCAGATCTACTGCCTTAAGTTGCATCTATACTTTTTATCACAAATGAATAATATCCATAATCCGGTAATAATATTTTGTTTAAATCTGAAACACTGTCAAACCAGTCAAAATAGTTTTTGACTTTTTCTGTTACAGATAT